CCAGGCTGTCTGTCCCCTGTTGCGGGACACTGGGGCTGTTTGCAGTTCGGGCATGTGCGGACAGAGCTGACACAAAAATTCCTGCACCGTGCGGGGAGGGGGGGTGGTCCTGTGTGGACAGCCCTCACTTCTCTCCTGCATAAATACCTGGAAGGGCAAGTTCCGGGTCACGTGCTCAGTGTCCGCCTGACTGTCTGAGAATCTGGCCAGCTGTTTCCCCAAGCGCCCACCCACCCACTTGCCTTGGTTCCCACCCGCTGGGGCTGCCAGCCCAGCGCTTGCTGTGCTCAGGGTTTTCAGGCTTAGCCGTTCTCAGAAGGGCAACGTGGTATCTCTCAGTGGCTTGAATTTGCGTTTTACTGGGGGCTAACGATGTGGAGCGGCTTCTCGTGTGCTAATTTGCCATCTGGATCTTCTCTGGTGAAGTATCCGTCCAGATCTTCTGCCCATTTTGAAAACTGGGCTGCTCATTTTCTACTGTTGCATTCTGAGTGCTTCGCGTCCTTGTGACACAGCTCCTTTACCAGACACATGATTTGCAGACCTGCCCTCATGTCTGTAGCTGGCTTGTCTTTTTATCTTTCATAGACAGGAGTTTTTCATGTTGATTAAGCCTGGCTTATCAATTAATTGTTTTGGGGGTTGTGCTTTGGGAGTCATGTCTAAGCTTTTAGCTGAACCCAAGATCACAAAGGTTTTCTTCTAAAAGTTGTATTGTTTTGTGTCTTGCATTTAGGTCTATGATCCCTTTTTGGTCATTTTTGCGTGAGGGGTGAGGTTTAGATCGAGGCTGTTTATGTTTGCATTTTGCCTGGGTATGACCAGTTACTCGGCACCATTTGTTGAACAGGCTATCATCCCTCCACTGAGTGGCGTGTGCACCTTTGTCACTTATCAGCTGAGTGTATGTGTGCGGGTCTGTGTCTGGACCATGAACTGCGTCTCCATTCACCTGTACACACAGGCTTGGTTACTGACGCTGATAGTCTTAAAATCAGATAGTGTGATTCAGCATTTTTCTTTCCATTTGGTTTTAAGTTGTCTTTTTCTATATAATTAAGGACTAGGGGTTAATTTTCTTATACTGCCATTTTAACAAATGGCATATACTTTTGTGGCATGGGTGTCACCTTCTCTGTTCCCCATATCCTGTCCAGGGCTCCACTATGGCTTGACCAGGGTGTTTTGGTCACCTGCCGGTGGCCACTCACATTGGTGGGAGCTCCCGAGGGTAGCGGCTGCCCATGCTGTCTCATGGATGTCACCTGGGTGATTCCCTGGGGACACATTATGCGTCTGGGGATGGGAATAGGGTTCTCCATTTGGGGCCCCCTGACACAGTAGCAGCCTGTGGGCTGGGGCCATGGCATGTTGCTCGGGGACAGGGTCCATGGCTTCCTTCAGATGACGAGTCAGTGACCCCCAGGAGGTTGAGAAAGCTCGGGCTGAGGCCAGCGTGGCCCTCCCAGATCCCCTCCAGACCTGCATCACCTGTTGCCCCTTCATTCTTCTATTATGTTTTTTGTATCGTGGGAAAACACACAACACTGACCATCTCAACCACGTTTAGGTGCCCGCTCAGTGGCACTAGGCGCAGTCACAGTTGTGTGGCCACCACCTCCATCATCTCCAGGACTTTCTCGTCTCCCCAAACTGACCCTCTGTCCCCATTAAATCCACCCCCCACCAGCCCCGACCCCCACCAGCTACTTCCTGTCTCTATCGATCTGACTCCTCTAGGGACCTCCTGTGAGGGGGTCCTACAGGATTCGTCCTTCTGTGACTGGCCCGTCTCCCTCAGCGTGGAGTCCTCAGGTCCCAGTGCTGCTTTGCTGGTTGGAGTCATGCAGAGTCACAGGGTCACCCAGGCAGGACCAGCAGGGCCCGAAGGCACAGGGGGACCCTTTTGGATCCCCTGTCAGAGCCCCTGGGGGGCCCACCCATGTGTCCCGTGACCATTTGTGCTTTCTTCGGCCAGCGTGGCCCGCTTGCCCGCCCGTGATGCTGCTGCCCCATTTGCCCAGATTAGCTCTTGCTCCGGATTCTTCCGTTGAGACCTTTATGACGATGGCTCATCTGTCCCACCTCGAGAGAGGTGACTACTCACCTCCCAGTACGAACAGCTAACTGCTCTCTCCACGCTCCTCGCTGCAGTTCATGGTGCCAAGTATGTGGAGCCCACAATCCTGGAAGCCAAGTTGCTGCTGTTGAAAATAGGCAGTTGATGGTGAGGTTGGCAGCTCGCCACGTGGCTGGTCCTGCGATGATGGGAGGCCTCTGGGTCCCCCGTGCTCTCAGGGACCTCCATGGAGCCCACCAAAGGGCCTCCCACTACCCCGCGATCAGGCTGGCATGACCGTCCAAAGGCCACCAGGGACACGAGAGCAACCTGGTCACTGTGCTTCCCCGCTTTCCCCCCCCGCAAGCTCTCCTGGCTTCCAGCACCTAGCTGTACCTGGTCCCCTCCAGTCCCTGGAAGGAGGGGGGCGGGGCAGGGGTGAGGAAGGAGTGAGCACCTTTCCAGATGGCCCTCTTGGTTCGGTATTTTTAGCTGGCGCAAAGGCACGTGGGGGGGCAGGACTGGAAGGCCCGCGCCTGTTCTGGACCCGTCTCGCGGTGGGGGCGGCGTGCAGCCTAGAGAAAGCGCAGGGGAGGTTGTGGGTCCGGTGAGCGCTCTGTCAATGCCAGGCGCCAGGCTGCCGCCTGGGTGATCACCGCGGGCTTGGGGGAGGGGCGGG